GGCACCCTCAAACTCTACTCTTGAACATGTGGGTACAGTAGCAGCAGCAGCAAGGACCCGCTTCCCAGTTCCCTGGGGAGGCCTGGGAAGCTGGAGAGACAGGATGGTGTGCCCTCTGGAGGCACCATGCCCAGAGCAACCAAGGACTTGCCGCTCACAGCAGGAGCTGAGAGAGGGGGAGGAGGAGGAGGAAGAGCTCCTTCCTGAAAACCTGAGGGACCCCTGGGAGCCCAGATGACCCTCTAGCCCTGTGTTCCTTTACCTTTTCCACAATGCCTGTCCCAAGAGAACAACTCAGGGGGACCGAAGAGCCACCTGCTCACCCTCCCAAGCCTCTGAAGACAAAAATATTTGAATTGCAGCTAAAGGGATTTAGATTAGACTCAGAGACTGCCAAGCCAAGAACCGCCAGGGCCCAGGTGTGCGTCCATTCCGCTAGGCTGAGGAGGGGCAGTGGGAGAGCCTGATGGATTGTACCTGTCAGAATTTGCACTTGAGCCTGTGTTGGAAGGTGGAGTCAGGCCAAATGATGCCTAGTGCTTTCTGAGCCTCAGAGAGCGTCCTCTTCCTCTAATCTGGGAGGCCCCCGTCTTGCTCCAGACCTCCAGCAGCTCCTCACGCCACCTGGATATATAAGGTCAACTTCTCCCTGGCACTGGAGGCCTCCATAGCCTGGGGAGGCCTGTGGCCCCAGCCACACATCCCCTCTTGGTTGATACATGCTCGGTCATAGCCAGGCCTTCCTCTCGGTCTGGTAAATGTTCACTGCTGCTGAGGCTTCTGTGCCTCTGCTGGGATGCCAACTACTTTGGCTTTGGACCCCTCTTCCAGGAAGCCCTCTCAGACTGATCAAGTCTCCTCAACCAAGCCAGTACCCTTCTCGGGGACACGACCACCTTCTCCCACTCTTGATGGTCTCTTGCAGTCAGTTCCTCACTGAGGGGTCTTGGCTTTTCTCCTGGAGGAACAGCAAAGGTCCTGCAGAGTGACCTGGGGCAGGGCCGGCCAGGTTGGAGGTTTCCTGGAGGTGGCAGGCCCCGACAGAGGAAGCCAGTTTGGCATCAAATGTTCTGAAACTGCCCTTGTGGAGGACAGAGGCTTGGAGCAGATCTGGCTCATTCCTGCCACCACCTTGCCTGGCTACCGGCTCAGCTGGAGGGCCTATTTGGACACCTTGCTAGCAGACGGCCCTGCAAAGGGAAACATCCGTTTTGGGTTGTGCTATCCAATGTGGTAGCCACTGACCACATGTGCTCTTAGGCACTTGAAATGTAGCTACTCTGAATCAAGCTATGCTGTAAGTGTAAAGTACACACTGGATTTCAGAAACTGAGCACAAAATGCAATGTGAAATATCTCATTATTTTTTTCATATGGATGACATGTTGAAATGGCAATTACTTTGGACATAATTAAGTTAAATATATTATTCAAATTAAATATACTTACTTCTTTTTTACTATTTGTTTATTAATATTTCCTCACTTTCTTTTTTAAAGTTTATTTATTTACTTAAATCTCTATACCCAATATGGGGCTTGAATTTACAACCCCAAGATCAAGAGTCCGACGTTCTACCAACTGAGCCAAAAAAAAAGGGCACCCCTTTTTTTTTACCTTTGAAAATGGAGCTGCTAGAAAACTTGAAATTACAAATGTGACTCACATTATATCATTTCTGCTTTACAGAGGAGAACACAAGCTTCCAAGGACTTGAGTGACATGTGGTACAATGCCCAGGTATAGAGGTGCCCATGCATCTGCCCAAGTTTGTGAGCAGAAAAGGCTCCAAAAGGGATGCATGCCCCAGGCCCTGCCTCTGGCTGCAGGACAAATACCAGAACCTTCCAGGCTCCAGAATCACATTCCCCACTCCCCTCGGAATTATGACCAACCAGCAGTTTAGTCTTCCTTCAAAAGTAAGCTCAGAGTTGATGTTGTGACCCATGGACATGGGGGACTCCTAAGCTGTCCTGGCTGGGCAGATGTTGTTGTGTGACCCCATCCTCAGGCCAGCCCCAGCTGTGGCGAAAGCCTCTGTCCTGCTCCAGGACCTCTCAGCTTGGACATCAGTGGGGCGCCCTCCCAGACATGAACTCTGACAGCAGTGCCATCAGCATACCTTGCAACCATCACCTCAGACCCATTTTTTTAAAAAAGATTTTATTTATTTATTTGACAGACAGAGATCACAAGTAGGCAGAGAGAGGGAGAAGCAGGCTCCCTGCTGAGCAGAGAGCCTGACGTGGGGCATGATCCCAGGACCCTGGGATCATGACCTGAGTTGAAGGCAGAGGCTTTAACCCACTGAGCCATCCAGGTGCCCCCTCAGATCCATTTCTGTCTGTATTCCCAACCTTTGCTCAGGCCACAGGCCACTTTTCTCGTAAATAAGCACTTTGGCAGATGGGTGTCCCTGGCTAGCCCTGTAGGGAACCCGCAGGTTGGGAGCAGGTCCTCTGTAGACAGAACCCCAGGGGGCCAGGTCTTTACAACCGCCCTATCTCCTGAGGCCCAGAGAAGAGCTGCTCTGAGACCCAGGGCCTGGCTCCTCCAGGTTTGGAGGGAAGGCAGTGCCCCTAGACTGCAGATTCAGCAAGCTGTGGCCACTGGCCTGGTCCACCAACCCAGATCTTTTCGAGGGCCACCCTGGCTGCCAGGGAGGGCTCTCTGGGATCTTGGGAGCAAGCAGAGCCGATCTCGTCTTCAACGCTCCAAATGTGCCCTGCGCCAGCTCCAGGAGGCAGTCTTGCCCTGGCTAAGGATTGAGGACATGGTCCTGGGTCCCTTGAGGCTAGGTTTGCTGGAGGCATTTGGGATCCTGCTGGGGCACCCCATTTGGAGGTAAAAGGGTCAGATCTTGGGCTGCGATTATAAAGAGGCTACTTTTGATTTTAAAATAGTTTTATATTTAAAAAATGAGTTAAGGGGAAGGATTTAATGGGTGAGGATTCTTGGCTGCCTTGGGATAATTACTCTTAAACTAGCTCCCATTTCTCAAGTCCTCTGTGGTGCCAAGCCTGTCGTGCCACCATCCCTGGGAGGGGCTGGCCAAGGTCCCTGGCATGGCCAGCAGCGTCGGCCTGTTGTTCCAACTCCATATGGCTACCACCATGCCCACCACTCCCTCCCTTGGGCCCAGTTGCTGTGGCATAGAGCTGGAGAGTTACAGGACAGATCCAGGTTCAAATCCCACTCTGCTGCTTGCCTACTTACCTTCCCTCAGCCTCATCCTCATCTGTAAAATGGGGGTGAAGACAGTTCTTGGATCCTCAGGAGAGAGTCAGGCACCTGCCCAGGGCCCTTGGCCTGCCTTCGGAGGCAGCTTTCCTAACATTACTTCTCTGCTGCTGCCTGTGTTTACACTAAGCAAATGCCGTCCTCAGACGGTCTCTGGCAATACAGAGGAAGAGAATGGCCCTTATATCAGACCAGGGGTGCCTGGCCTCTCATTGAGGGGCCCTGTCCCTTCTGTCCCCCAGCCTCAGCCCCACTCTGGAGACGGGTTCGTCCTGAGCATGGGAGTGAGAGGGCCCACCAGAACAAGGCTTTCCCTTCCCCACACCCCTGGCTTGAAGCTAAACATCTCAGACCCAACTCCTCCCTTTTCCTGTGGCTTCACCCAAAGTTCAGAAGTACCCCGTAACACGGGAGTGCCCTTCTGGTAATAGTGACAGTGACAGGAGCTGTGGTGGAGTGAGCAGACAGACATGCCAGCAGCCCCTCCCATCTCTGCAGCTCAGCCTCCCTCCCATGGGTGTTCAGACAGGCCCCCACCCAGCTCTCCAAAGGCCTTGACCCAGCGCCCCCTCAGCAGTGTATCTCTCTGCTTCACAGTTGCTGTCCCGATTGTCACCTCTCCTCAGTCCTCAACCCCCTGCCCATCTGTCTGGGTTACAAACACCTCCCAGACACATCATCTGGCATTATAGCTGGGGCTTTGCTTAGGGAGCCCTCCAGATTTGGCTGGACTAGGGCAAGGCAAGGAGGCACTTAGGGTGCAAACTTAAGGAAGTGCCCACTCGCAGGCTCCTATAAATGCAGGGCTAGGCCGGAGGGTGCTTGCCTCATCCTGGCCCCAGCCCTGTTCAGACTCCTCAGCAGCCCCCAGTGGGTCCATTTCCCCTGGTGTTTTGGACCCCATTCTGTGGCTTTTCTCCCACCTCTCAGCAGCTCCTGCTCAGGGTTCCCTCCTGTTCCTCCTCCGGTCATCCTGGGCCCCCTCTTTCGTGTGTACCCTCCGGGCAGCCTCTAGACCAATCACCTTGAATTAAGATATGCCAGAGCAGCCCAACCCTCTACCTTTCTCCTGGCTAAGACCCCAACATTCCACTAATTCCTAGCACTCTTCTCCAGGGCCCTGGGAATGCTGCGTTCACCTTGGTCAGCTCCTGCCCAGGCTCCCCAGTCCAGGTGGAGGCCCTACCCTTGGGTCCCCTTTCCTTCCCTGTAGCCAAACCCTGTCCTTGGGCTCCACCTCCTAAACTTCTCTCATCTAGCCCCCTGCTCCTCACCTCTACCATCCTGTCCCCTTTTTCCTGGCCACTGGCCACCACCTCCTCCCTGCTGCCACTCCTGCATGCTCATTCACAGCCCCTAGGGACCTTCCCCGCTTCTACATCTGCCTCTACCCCAGACTCTTTGTGACTCCCCATTAGCCTCGGGAGAGTCCCAGCCTCTCCCCCAGGGCCCCAACACCCCTGGTCCTTTACAGCTCCATACTCTGGGCTCTCTCTCACCTTAAGGCTTGCACACCTGCTTCCCCTTGGCTTCAAACTTGCTGGTCCCTTCTCTCTGCTTTGGAATACTGACTGGAGTTTAGTTTAGATGAGGTAGGCCTTCCCCCTCTTCTCTACTTCCATGGCCCCCGCCCTGCCCTCTATATAACCCTCACCCACTCAGTACCTATGTCCCTCCCCACATACTCTGCTTGACTTACCACTGTCAGTTCCCCCAATGCCTAGAACAGTCTTTGATACAGCCTAGACACTCAGTGGGTATTTGTGGCATGAATAGATAAGTTTATTAATAATTGCATGGATGGATTGTCATGTAGGTGGCTTTGGTGACCGGGTAGGGCTGAGGGAAGATACTACAGAAGCTGTAGCCAGTGTCTGCCCATGGCAGCAGGTGGCTGGAGGGAAAAGGCCATGTCATCTCCAGCAGGCTGGGTGCTGATTTTAATGGCCCGGCAGTGAGGTGCGTGCATGGCGGAGGCCTGCAGAAGAGGTAACGCCGAGAGGGCAGCCCTGCCCACCTCTAATTATTGCTTGAGTCTTTCTGGCAATGCCAGCTGCCTGCCCCAGAGAGCTCGGTCTCGTCCATCACAGTGTGAGCTCAGGGTGGGGCTGCTGCCACTGCCAGTGGGGAAGATGGGAGAGATTCCCAGGGGCCTTTGGGTCTTGGAGAGCAGAGGCAGCCTCAGGCTTGGACCGTGCTTAGCTCCTGTCCTTCCTGTCCCCAGCTGAAGGGTGTCCCTTGACTTGAGGGTCCCATCAAGAATCCTCCAGGGTGGCCAAGGAGCAAGCCAGCTGAAGTGGGGGGTCCACAGCACCCCCCCCAGGCAGGGAGCCTCAGATGGTTTGGTGTCTGCTGACGTGGAAGCCCTTGGGAAAATGGTGCTCTAGTGGCCGCCTGGGCAGGTGGGCAGCTCAGGCCCGGAAAGAGGCCTTGACCACACGGCCCTTCAGTGGCTGTGGTGGCCGGAAGTTGTTCACCATGTGGATCCTCTCATCATCCTCTGAGGTGAAAAGCAGGCTTCGGAACTTCTCCATCTTGAGAAGATGGAAGAGATACTCAGGGCAGAATGGGGGTGGTGTGGTCCTCTCTGATCCCAGACATATCATCTGGCCAATCAGCTCCACCTCTCCCTCCTCTTGCTCCTAGGTCTTGTCCCCACTCCTCCCCACTCGTTCTTTCTTTGGGATCCCGACCTCAAATATTTACCCACTAAAGGCCCTCTGAACCTGGACCCTGCCCCACCTAGCTCCAGTTCCAATTCCGTCTAGTTAAGACTTATCAACAACTGCAGGATTCAGATTCTTACACAGTAGGTAGGGGTGGTCCTAGGATCCAGGGACCTCCCCTCTCAGCCTGTGCTGAGGTCCTAATGACTTACAATCAAGTGAACTCCCAAAGTATCTAAATGTGAAAACAAAAACAAACAAAAAGAAAGCAAGAAAGAAAAAGGAGGTTGTGCAGGTGGTGGTGGGCAGCACCTGGCTGACTCATCCAGAAAGCAACCAAATCTTGATCTCAGGGTCATGAGTTCAAACCCCACGTTGGGCATTGAGCATACTTTTTTTTTTTTTTTTTTAAAGAATCTAAATGTCTATTAGTAAAAGGTGGCAGTGTTGATGGTGGGACCATAAGCTATAGCTTGTTGGTTGGGAGAGTCACTCTCCCTGGGATGGGCCCTGAATGCCGTATCATCCCATCTCACCTGGTTCTCTGGGAAAACTCACCTGCCTCTCGGAGATGCTGATAGGTTCCCGCAGCACGATCCAGGTGACACTCTCACTCAGTGGGGGCGTCGTCAGGGAGCCCGGGTAGGTCCAGTAGTGCCGGCTGGCAGGCAGGAGGCACTTGGGGTTGAAGCAGCTGAACTGGGCCTTTGTTCCCTGGGGCAGGGCAGGAATCAGCATAGACCTGCCACTCGACCAGACCAGCATCCTCCCCACTCTTTCCTGTCGGTGGGATTTAGGCTTCTCCTTGGCTCACTGATGCAAATGTGGGCCTAGGCCTGTGATACCAGAGGCCATCTCCTGGCCCGACCAGGGCCCTGTCCACCTGTTGGCCGGTATGTAAAAGCTGTGGTTCCTTAAGCTCACTAGTCTCCGTGTTCTGTCTCTGCTTTGTCCTTCAACTGCCCTTAGCTGCCTGTAGGATGGCCTCTGACCAATCCTACACCCAAATGGGTGGTAAGCTGGGCACTCCGTGAGGCCACTGACTCTGGTGAAGAGGAGTCATTCGCAGGGCCCTGCAGCTGCTAACCTGTAACCTTCAGCTCAGCGGGGGTTTGCTGTCAGGTTGGAGCAGTGCATGGGCCCACTCTCTGCTCCAGCCTCTTCCTCCCTCCCACCAGGCTGCTCCGGTCAGGGTTACGGACCCCCGGGCTCACCTTAAACCGAACCATGTACAGTGCATCTGTCAGCCGGTTCATGCTGGGGTGCTCGTTCCCTGTCTGTCAGAGAAAGGGTAGTGTGAGCCCAGTACCCACCACGTTTGGAATGAGGCCCAGCGCCAGGCTTCCCATACCCCTCTTGCCCCCAGTAACCACCCCTTACCTCCAAGAAGACACCGACCACAGCCAGGCCATCAGGTGCTGAGGCTGCCTCCCCAAAGGTGCTGTATTTCTTGGCGTTCCAGTGAACAAGGTGCAGCTGCGGGGGCAAGGCCAGTGCTTAGTGCCTCCGAGGGGGCCCTGGGAGCTCAGAGCCAGGTTTCCTTCACTCCCACTGGACTCCTGGCCCCTCTGCAAGTGGGGTAAGGCTGGGAGGACCCAGAAGAGCCCGCAGTGGAGCCCCCAGTGGTCACAGATAGCATCCACACTGCTCTGGGACCCACCTTTTCCTGAGCCCCCGGTGACCAAAGAGGAATCTGGCTGGGGCCCTGCCCTTAGTGAACCGTGAAATAGATAATGGCCCTCCGTGTGACACATCTGGAGGAGGCAGTGCCTGCAGCTGGGTCCAAAGAATGAGTAGGGGGTTATCAGATAGAACCCTCGGGAAAACTACCCCAGGTAGAGAGAATAGCATAGGCAAAAGCTTGGTGGTTTGAAGGAAGAGCTGGGTGTGGACAGGACATTCATCACATGCCGGTCAATATGGGGAGAGGTAAGGAAAAGATGAGGTCAGGCAAAGCCACTATGTGTGGGGCCTTAAATGCCAGGCTCAGTCCTAACAGGTTGTTAGCAAGCATGTGGTGGGACTGGACTTTTCTTCAGAAAACTCCTTCTGGACCCACAGAGCAGGCTATCAGTGGGCAGAGTTCAGGTGGAAGACCCCATGCCAGGGGCCGGAGGAAGGTGTCTCTCCGAAAACCCCTGGGTGCTCCTCCTCACCCTCTCCAGAGCCCCACAGCAGGCACCAATCAGGTCCCTGACTCTCCTGTCCTTCCCCAAACAGTAAAGGGATTCAGGTAGAGGGCCCTTACCTCGCTGGGGAATGACTTGCCATCTACGGTGTGTTCTGAGCCCACACTGTGCTTCTTGCCCCAGTGGAAATGGAACTGCTTGAGCCGGTATGGCCCATCCAAGGGCCCCCCAGTCACCACTGCAGGAAGAAGTGGGGTGTGTAGTCATTGATGTGAGAGATCCCATGTGGCCCAGCAGGTGGTGGTGCAAGGACCAGGCCAGTGTACAGGACACAGAGAAAGTTTTCATTTGGAAAATTCATTGGGCTAACTACGCTTGGGGCCATGCTCACCTAGTCCCCTAGGCCCTTAGCAGGGCCATGGTGGTTGCCTGAAGGTGGCAAAGGTAGTGATAGAATACGCCAGTCCACTTGGCCATCCTCCCCTTTCCCTCCCACTTCTGTATGGAAGCTGGGACCTTGTCTCCCAGGTCCCCATTACCACTGATAAGAGGACTCTCATGTCGGGATCCCTGACCAAGGGCTATATTGGAAGGATTCTTTTGTTCAGTCCTTCTGGAAGCCTTTTAGAAGTCATGAGGGACAGAACCCATTGTTATCTCTATCTCATAATGGAGAAAAATGGCACAGAAAGGGCAAGACATTTGGCCCAGGTCACACAGCAAGGCACTGAGCTAAGATATAAGCCTTTATCTCCCTCGTAAGTCCAGAGCCCAAGCCCCTACTCGCCAGATCACACTGTCTCCCTAGAACCTTGAGCTTTCTCAGGACCTGGTATTGTCTAGAGTGCAGCTCCTAAGGGTCCACACTCTGATGACCAGGCCCAGGCCATCTCCCATGGCCTCTTAGTAGGTCCCTACTTGTGCTGGTCTGGTGACTTTCTCACCCTGATACCTGGTGAGCTGGGGCCATACACAAGGCCTCCTGGGACTGATTGAATTTCCAGGTGAAAGGGATCTGGCCATTGAGGGAGCCCTGGGATCAGGTGACGGCCCTCGGCTCAGAGTTCCACCCTAAGGCCCCTCCAGGATGGGTGACCAGGGCAGGGCCTTGCCCCTTTGTGGGGCCTGTGAGGGGGAGGATGACGGAACAGTCCAAAGGCCCACCCTTGCTACCCGGCCTTATCTAAGAAGCAAGGTCTGTCCATAGCATTGCTGGAGGGTTGACAAAGAGAGCCTGGGAGGGTGGCCATGGCAGGGACCTGATCAAGCTGTCCCATCCTGGGGAGGCAGGATCAGTAGGGCCTGCAGGCTGAGCTTCCTGATAGGACCTGTGAGGGCCCACGACTCTGAGCATGCCCCACCTGGGATGCTACAGTGTGGTCTGTCAGGGAGTCAACTCCCCACCTAAGCCCTTGAGCATAGCACCTCTAGCCCTCTCCCAATGTCCTGACTATCGAACAAACTGTTACTCACTGTGCCCTCACCATGTATTCTGCACTCTGTTGCCATCAAGCCCCATAGTGTCCTTGAGAGGAACATATTATTACCCCTGTCGGACAGATGTATGGCTGAGGCTCGGAAAAGCAGATGTCATGCCCAAAGTCACACAGCCAGTGAGTGGCAGAGCCCCAGCAGTGTCACTCTCAAAGCCCACTCTCTTTCCGCTGACTCCCTGCCCCTTCGATCCTGGGTATCCTAGTAGGAGACGGAGCCAGGCCTCAAAGTAAGCCACTGGATCACTCCAGCTCCACCCACAAGATGCATGCCCCCTTGTACTCCCTCCCTGCCTCCCAACAACAGCCTTCACTAAGCTATTGAGGTCTGAATTGAACCCTCAGTGCCCTCTGAAGGCTGTTAGAAGGTATAGTCGTATGAAAACTGCTCCTTTAAAAACTGTCATTTAGGGTCATCAAGAGCACCATGTCCCTCCCCCAAGCTCTGGATGAGAGGCTTTATTAAAAACTCAGTACCAGGAAGTGTCTCTCTTCTGAGGGTCTGCTGGATTTCTTCCCATCTGCAACAAGAACTATAACTGGTCCTCTTTCCCTCTTTTCCTAGCCTACCAGGGAACTCAGTGCTAAGCAACTAAGATCACTCTTCTCTGGCTTCCCTCCTCTTCTCTGCTTTTTGATTTTCTTCTTGAAACTTAAGTTCCCTTGTGTGCTTTCATTGTGTGTGGGGGGGGAAAGGTGGATAGGGGCAGAGTACCAATTACTTCCTTACGCAAGAAACTCTAGCAGCTTCCCTCCTTGATTCACTCCACCCCTCATAGGCCTGTTCATAAGGATAAAATCTCTTCACTGAGGAGCATTTCTGAGGCTTCTGCCTAGGAATTTATTATGAAAGAACCTGAACTCTCAACCCAGGATAAACAGATGTCATAAGTTCTGCGGGCCTCTCTCTGGCCCAAGCTGATTGGAATCTTGAGGTTGTGGGTGGACTGGAGACAAGACCTTTGGAGTTGGACCAGGCTGATTTTGGCATGCCCCTGCTCATTGAGTCTCTGCTTACCCATCTTAGAGGTGGGTTCTTGAGAGGAATAAAAGAGCTGCCTAAGACTTTAGCAAGGGACCTGGCACACAGAACACTCCAGCTCCCTTCTCTCTCTGGGCTTGGCCAGATCACACAGGGAGGAGGGTTTGGCCTTGGGCCACACAGCAGGTCAGTGAGAGGGCCTGGACTGAAAACAAACCTAACCTAAAGCTGTAAATGGAAGAGAAGGAAGGGAATTCGTATTTCTTGAGCATCTGCTATATGCCAGCACTACAAACATCACTTCCATTTTTTATTTTTCCTCTCTATGACCCAGAGAGGAAAAGAGGGTCTTACTGCTCCCGTTGTATGTATAAGGAGATGGAGGCTCAGCCCAGGGCTTCACAGCTGGTGAGAGGTGGAGCCTCCCTACCCCACCACAGCATCCTGCCCTTCCTGAGCCTGCCCCACGCAGGGTGAGGACCCCAGTGGGAAGGGGGGCCAGCCTCTGGCAAGGGCCACTTACCAGTTCGGTCATCGCTGTCATTGAAGTCCACCTGGACAGAGTGGCCATTGTTGGCGATGCTGAGGGATATGCAGGCCTCATAGGAAAGCTCCAGTGGTTTCAGGCTGGGCGAGTACACAGCCTGGCTGGACACAATATTGATTGGTGATTGGCGGTCTCCCTGGGCAATGGGATACAGCTTGTGCCACTGTGAGGGGCCTGCAGGTGGGGAGAGGGCAAGGGCTCGGGCTGGCTTGGATCTCTGGGTTTGCAGGTGGAGGATGCCTGTGGGGGACAGTCTCTCCATACCCCTTCAGATGTCAGCCCCTGCTTTGGAGCTCCAGTCCCAGCTCTGCCATTTCCCTCTCTGCCTCCATTTCCTTTCTGCAAAATGGCCTCACTAAAACTCTGCCCCCAGAGGTGAGAGGAATTACCAGAGAGGTAATTCATGCAAGGGAGCACAAGATAGCCACAAGCCCGGGGGTGCGGCTCCAGGCAGTAACTCCTCCCCAACTCCCAAAACATGGTCCCAGAGGGCCCCAGGCCTCTGAAGTCCCTGACCTGGTCCTCCCAGGTATCTGGCCTCTTCCCACACCTTGAGCATGTTCTTGTTGGTGTTTGTGATAATAGTAACAAGAGCTAAAGTCAACCTAGCTGTGGCTCTGTGACATGTGCTTGCCTCTCACAACCACATTGTGAAGCAGAGATTAGCATGATCCCCATTTCATAGGTGAAAGAAACAAAGGCCATTCAGGCACGCGTGCGTGTGCACGTGCATGCACACGCACACACACACACACACACACACACAAACTTGGGTACGGGTATAAACATACAGCTTGTGCCTGGGCAGTCCCAGTTGCCCTCCTCTCACGTGTGCCTACAGATCTATAGAGATTTTCACGTGTGCACACATATGTGCACAGTGACCTGGGTTCGTCAGGCCCAGAGTGGCTGGACCCAGCAACATACATGTGTACATACACACCCACAGTCCTGCCAACTACACCTGACACACACATATGCGCCATCACACACAAACACCCCTGTTGCAAACCCAGGTCTGCAATAAAAGACTACAGCAAAACACACACTCGTGCAAGCACGTACACACACACACACACCTGCGTGCACACCCACGAGCGCCCACCACCTGCCTCCCAGAGGCTCCATCTGCAGCCGAGAGGCTCGGCATCTCCCCGGGGAACATCCTGAGATGCAACCTATTTTTAGAGCTATTGCCGGCTGGTGCTTCTCCCCGTTTTTGGCTTCTTAAGTTTTCCTCAGAAAACAGCAGCAGGTGCCGACAGAGCTGTGTCCCCAATGGATGACTCAGAATCGTGGCCCAGACCCACTGGGTTATTTTTGAAGTCCTGCGAGCATGCCGCATGCCCGCACCTCTATCCTCTGTCCTTCCCTCCCTCGTTGCCCCTAGACTGAATGGCCCAGGTCCGGCTGGGTGAGGGGCAGTGGCCTGAGCAGGCAGGCCCTTGGGGCAGGCCATATAGGATACTGTATGCTCAGAGCTGGTAGGCAGGACTAACAGTCAGGGGACTCCAATTCTGGAGGAAGCACCCAGAAGCTAGTTCGGAGCTGGTGCTGGAGGGAAGATGATCTTCTATGGGTACTGTCAACCTGCCCCTTCTCCGTCTCTCTCTCTCCAACTCTGCTGGTCTCTGTTGCCTTTTTGTGACTGTCTCTAGCTTTTTCACGCCCAGATCTGGGGATCTCCCCTCCAGAGTATGCTCCTGTGTCCCTGTGTTCCAGAGGGAGCCAGACACATCACAGCACCTCCCTAGCTCCCTCTGGCACACTGCCACTTCCTAACCCAAAGATTAGCCCAGGACCCCCACCCTCCCTCAAAGAGTAACTCCCGGAAAAGGGGAGATGAGGAGTGTTCTCTCACCAGCACTTCCCTGTCTCCCCACATCCACCTGCCCTGCCTGGGGTTTCCTTCTGGCAGCGTGGATCTTGGGTCTTCATTGTTCACCTGACGGAAAGGGGGGAGCCCTTACCCCACACCCCCACCCCAGCTTGGTAAAAAATAGCTCAAAAGGTAACTGACCTGCCCCAGAACACATTCAAGCCATCTGGCTCTCACCCCTGCCTCCTTCTCCCTTCCTCTGCATCCTAAGGAAACTGAGGCAGGATCTGGGAGCTATTCACCCAGACAGGAGGCTGATGTGGGCCACGCACTCCCACGCTTCACACCAGGACGTGCTCAGACACCCTCCTCGATGTAGACACCCAGACACACGCGTGCACCCCCAGTGCCCCCTTCCCTCACATACCTGCCGACGCGAAAGCTCGGACACTTCCGCGGGGAAACTCTCCCGGGGACACCGCGCCCTTGTCCAGCAGAGCCCGGCTCCCGGGAGGTCCCCGCACACACGCCGTGCGCGCTCCCCGCATAGACACCCGCGCACAGCGCTCGGCCCCGACCGCCCCCCCGCGGCCCAGGGCCACCTTCGCCCGCTGTGCCTGCCGCGGGTGAGTGAGTGTCGGGGCCCAGGTCCGGACGAGCACGGCAGTCGGGCTGCGCGGAGGAGGCGGCAAGACTCACGCTCACCCGCGGCGTGGCTCGCTGGCGGCGGGGCCGGCGGGGTCGCAGCGCGGACTTTGGGCCAGGAGCCGGGGAACAGGGGAGCCAGGGCTCGCGTCAGGCAGGTGGCCTGGGTTCTGGGGGCTGGACCAGAGGGGTGTCCCGGTCCGGTCCGGAGGGTGGAGGCTTGCGGATCCGGGAAATCCGACTGGGCTCGAGGGTAGGGGGTTAGATCCAGAAGGTCGGGGCTGGCGGGGTCTATACCTACCGTCGTTCTGGCCGTAGCCCCAGCCGTGGTGGCCGGTCATGCCGCTGCTGTCCCCGCAGCCGTGCACCTGCCTGCTCCGCTCAGTTCCGCTGGCTCCGGCTGCGGCTCCGGCCCCGCTCGCTACCTCCGAGCTGCCTCTTAAAGCTGCGGCGCGCGGGAGGAGCAGTTCCCGGGGGACCCGCCCCCCAACCCCCGGCAGGGCTAAAGAGGCCGGCGGTGCCCCGCCCCCGCCCACCCGCAGACCAGTTGAACCCCAGAGTTGAGTCCAGGTGAAGAGTCAAGGGACCAAAAGACCTCTCCATACTCCCCACGTCCCCTCCCCCACCCTGGCTGGGCTACTCTCCCCCTCTATTCACGTGTACAGGCTCTACTGTACTGAGCCGTGAACCGCCCTGGGTTCTCCACATCCCATCCCATGAGCCACAAATCCCATTACCCATTACCGGGGAACCTGGACTCTGGGCCCTGAGTCCTCCGGGATTGGAGAGTCCCCTCGAAACTGCAAAGTGCATTGACCATCAAGTGTCCAGAACTGGAGCTAGAAACTATATGGCAGGTGCTGGACCAAGCTTTGGATCCTTTGGGTCATCTAACTCTCTTAGCTACCCTAGACATTGTGTGGTACTCCAAGAGCCCACTTTCACAGAGACAGGGCTGAAGCCTTGAGAGGTATATGATCTGTGCAGTGTGCAAAGGATTCACGCCCAGGTGGTCTCACTCTAGACATTGTGCTCTTTACCACTTCTCTTTGGTGCTGGGGGCAGGGGTCCCATGGTTATGGGTCTAGGAGAGGGGACAGGACTGGCAATCCAAACCTCTGGCCCCAAAGGGGGAATAGGGAGGAAGTAGCATCCAGTGGGCATTGAGGACAGGTGGTCAAGAGCCAAGAACCAAGTCTGAGACCCTGCCTCCCACCCTCTTCTTCTCTCCATTGCTTCCTCCTTCCCTGCAGGACTACCTGCCCATCCCTCTCCAGCTTGCTGTTTGTCCTTCTTCTCCTTTTCTCTTCATGACCTTCGGCACACCTGCTGGGAACTCAGGCCCTCCACCCTGTACTCAACCTCCCTGCCTGCCTTGGCCCAACATTTTCCTACCGATAGGTCTTGGTCCTTGCTGTGCCCTCCTTGCTGGTGAGTCCTCTGTCTTCCACCCACTGGCTTCAGGCCACCCAATCTGATTCATGTTAGGACGTGGCCTTGTGCCAAGGATAGGCCTCATCTCTGACTAGGCTTCAGCAGGCAGTTTTGGGAAGACAAGTAGGTGGGTTGATGGAAGTATGGACAGAAGATCCCACTCAGGGATCTGTACCCGACAGGAGGTAGAGGGCCATTTGCCCTTGACCAGAGGAGACTTTTTCAGGCCCTGCTCTTCACTGACCTTGTGAAGGAATCTGCCATCTTGTCTGCCTGACTCCCCTACATCTCTGTGGTTATCTCAGTTTCCCTCTTCTCGGCCCCAAACCTCAGTTCCACAAGTTAGAGTTGCAGAGATTAATTGACAACTGGTTGGCTGGGTCAAGGTCAGTCAGTGACTTCACAGCCCTGCCTAGATCTCTTCTCTGACCCAGGAGCTGGAAGGCGTCCTTACTAGAAATAGGACCAGCAGGTGGGGGCAGGAGATTCCTGATTGAGATTCGGGACTATGGAGCTCCCGGAATCAGCATGTGACAGAATGCAACGTTGTCAAGGCCCCAGGTCTAAGCCAGAACTCTCATCCTCAGACCAAGAAGACAAAAGCTTGCTCAGTCCCTTCTCCTGGGGGGAGTTGCAACACTCTCAGGTCTGGGGAGGGGACCCAAATGTTTCTCCTTCACAGAGCTACTTCTTCCTTCAGAGTCACCCAGACGTAGTCCATATTTATTTGTAGTATTTAATTAAAAAGTTGGAATTATGCATATAATTTTGCAACCAATTTCATTTGCACAGTAACCCTAGATGGATTTTTGCCCCCTTTTTTTTTTCAAATGAGCAAAGTAAGCCTTCAGGAAATTGAGTTAGGGAACAGCAAGTGACATAGCAAAGATGAAAGTCCAGTGCTGCCCAGTCCCTCATTTAACATGTCTAAAAGCATGGAGAGGGGGAGGAAGTGGATTTTAAATTTGATTGTCACTTGCATATATGCAAGACTTTCCCTGGAAGGACTTAAGCTTGGGAGAGTATTTGCCTCCTGGAAGGAGACTGGGAGACAGGAAGGGTGGGGGAAGGTGCAGAATGGGGGTGGGAGGGACACCACTGCTTATTCCTTTGTACCTTCCAGAGGAAACGATTACCTCTTTAACAACCAAATACAAGTTTATCTAATTCTTTGCTTCCTGCACTCTGTCTTCAGCAATTTTCTCCGGGTTCTGGAGTGCTGGGCAGGTGAGAGGAGCCAGTGCGCTCTGCCCAGTTTTGCCCATTTCAGGTAAAGCCCTCTTTACCCCAGCAGTCCTTTCAGGTCAATCTGGGAAAGCTGATAACCCCATTCAGGTGCCTCCTGTCTCAGTTATGTGCTGTCTTTAAAAATAAATTGGTTTCGGGGCTGCCTGGGTGGCTCAGTGGGTTAAGCCTCTGCCTTCGGCTCAGGTCATGATCTCAGGGTCCTGGGATCGAGTCCCACATCGGGCTCTCTGCTAGGCAGGGAGCCTGCTTCCTCCTCTCTCTCTCTCTACTTGTGATCTCTCTCTCTGTCAAATAAATAAAATCTTAAAAAAAAAAAAAAAAAGAATTGGTTTCACTGCCCAGAAGTTTACTCTTTGGTCTCACTGGCATTAGTGGCTCCTAGATTTCACTGTTTATAAGGGAGGGGGAGCAGGGAGAGGGTGTGGGTGGTATGAGGGCCATGATGAATGGTTGGGGGAGGAGGGCAGGAGCAGCTTAAACAGCATAACTCATTCAAGTGACCTTGACCAGATCTCACTTCCTCTCTCAAAGGTACAATGTCTTTGCTCTACAAGGTGATGAAGGGATTGTCCCTGCCTGGCCTACTTCATGGGGATCCTGTGAGTATTGGTTGAGACAACAGATGTCCAATGCTGTTCCAACAAGCAGAGTCCTATGTACTGTATGTGACTTTGTTCCTGTATGTTATGCACAGGGCCTACAGGCCAGGCCAGAAGACTTGTGCCCTGGAGACTCTAAAAGCAAAATTATAGCTTTTCTTTTCTTTCTTTCTTTCTTTCTTTCTTTCTTTCTTTCTTTCTTTTTTTTTTTTGTAGTCCTTTGGTTTTATTTTCTGGGATTAAAAATAAAGTAAGGCATAAATGTTTTTACATGGTCTTCTTGAAGATACCCTTCCTTTAAAATAACTTATCAAATGGCTTTATTCATGTCTCTTGATTATCAGTATTCATCAATATTACTGTCAGCCTTGATTAACTGGTTAAAATTTCAGAGCAGAATAAAGAACTTTCATGAACATTTCTCCCAAATCCCTGAGAATCACAATCATCACAGATACAAATCTATATTTTAAGGTTTTATTTCTTTGACAGAGAGATAGAGAGCACAAGTAGGCAGAGCAGCAGGCAGAGGGAGAAGGAGAAGCAGGTTCTCTGCTGAGATGCTTAACCGACTGAGCTACCTAGGTGCCCCATCACAGATACATTTTATCCCTTCATCATAAATCTCTGGAAAGTATCCGAGTTCATTCATTGTTAACAAGGCAAGGAGCAGTGTCATAGAGGGTTAATCCATGTAAATTGGCTTCCACTTGTAAAGAAAGTTTCTGAAAATCACAATGTAAGTCAGGAAAAAACCACAGAAGGAGAAAGACATAGACCATTTTGCTGCAGTGGTGATCATGTGAAGCACGTAACCTTTGTCCTCAGGGTTCCAATGGAGTTTTTGTACAATATCTGTGCCAAAATTCCCACTGGACAGAAGTGATGAACAAGTCAGCAGGCTAAATGCACTTCCTCCACATAACTTCCTCCAGATAACCACCAGTCGTCTGATCCAGAAGACTTGTTTGCTGCCAATTTTGAGCTGCATTTGGTAGGAAAGGATGGTCTGAATGAACATGTGTAACGAGCCAATACCAAAGGTGAGCACAGCTCCACATACATGTACAAGAATAATGCTCTTGTCTGGAAGTTTGCCACAACAGAAAGTCCAAAACAGCTCTAAGCCAAGTACAAGAACCAGCCTTGATTAATTTGATGATATGACTCTCTTCAGGATTCAGGGCATGAACTTGCTTGTAATGAACATAAATGGTTGCAACGCACAAAACTGCGGCAGTATTTAACATTGCCCCAAACAAGCATTTTTCTGGAGCTACTGAACCAGTGTCACTGATATAAGGCAGAGCAGGGTCAGCATGGTGAAGTGTTATGGCCGTAATGTATGAAAATATGAAAGCAGTAGCTGTCCAAATTACTGGGGCAGAAGGGAGGAAACTGAGACCTTGTTGAAACTACCACATCTCAAATAGGTCTTTGTTGCTTGTTTGC